GGAGAATTTCCCCCTGGCCATCTTAGAGGCGTTTAAGGCTTCTGTACACCGCTACATCAGACAGGGGCTATAAGGGGCAGGAGAATCCCTCCTGAGATCTTTCGGGGGAATTTTGGGAAACTAGCTCAGGTGCATGTGGGCACATGCCTGAGTGTTGGGGCTGTGTGTACAGGAGGGCAAGATTTTCAAAGAATCTGAATAGCCACTGAATAGCCTAACTCCACACCACTGTTACTGTGATTTTTGGGAGCACAAATTGGGGAACTGCACACACTAGTTACCAGAACTGGCATTTGCACATGCCGTTACCCACTTTGCATGCACCGTTACATTAACTGCACGCATAACGTAGGGGTGCGCTTTGAGACCCTTCGGAAATCTGGCCCAGGAGTCACAAAGAGTGTCTGTTGGATATCCCACGACTCACGGAAACTAATGCAACGAGACATATTCCGAAGGTTCATATTCCGGGGAGGTGGGTAAGGAGGGGAAGGACTCTGGGCTTTAACATTTTCTCTCCAATACCCAACACATTTTCTGACAAAGGCCCGCCCTAGTGGTTTGAGCACAGGAGTGGGAGCCAGAGAATCCAGAGTCCTAATCCAGCTCTGATTCGGATTCCTGCTGTGGCCTTGAGCAAATCACTTAACTTCTCCATGGTCACAACCCTTATTCCCTCATAGGGGTGTTGGGAGAATGAATTCGTTGGGGGCAGGAATCAGCAAAGATGCAAAATGGATTCAGTTCCATGTGTTAAGCAAGTTGCTCATTTAAGTGCCACGCACATTTTTGCATGTCTCTTCCCCATCGTGGCGGACTCACCAGATTACGATTTTACATGGGCAAATCTTCCAGTGAGCTCAACGGCAGCATGGACAGGAAGGAGATTGTTATGTGCCTGTATGGAGCCTTTCCTCATTAAGGCCAAAATCGGCTTGCGTCCCCACAGTTCACCCCCATTCACACCCCGTTGAACATCTGGTTCTAATGCAGAACACGACTATTTGCCCACAGATATCAAAGTAACCAGCAATGATGGGAGAAGGAAAACAAAGTGCCTGAGCATAACAATGGCTCTTTAAAACCAAACAAAGAAACAATGCTGAGACCACAGCACCACTTATCCAAATAACCCACCCACGGGGTAATAGGCACTTAGGAACCCGCAATTTCCCCAGACAGGAGCGAGCCCTGCAGAACTCCTGGCCGTTCAGCACGTTTGCACAAATTGGCAAGCTGTCTGAAATCGCCTGTCCCCGAAACTGGCTGAGATTACACCTCGAACGTGACCGCTAAGCCAAACAGATGCAGCCCTGCACCTGGAAACTCTTTCAGAGCATATCATAAAATATTTCCTTTGCTTGCGCCAGATGAGAATCTTTCAACTTTCCTTCCCCCATCCCAGTGATTTTCAGACTGTCTCTGCTGGCCAGGGCAACTGCAGTCCTGAGCAGTAAGGTCACAGCGGGACGCCCTCAAGCTCTAGTGGCGGTCTGGAGAACCAGGCTCTGAGGATGGGAACAGCACACACCGAGCCCTACTCATCTGCAGGTTCTCTCTTTTGTTATTTCTGCTCAGCTGGAAGCTCGGCATGAGTCCCTGGGCTCCTGAAGGTGGTAAATGGGGAAGTGTAATGAATCAATGGCTCTTCTTCCAGCTGGCTGAACTAAACTGTCTCTCTGATAAACTCACAGCCATGAATATCAAACACTGGTGTTTCAGGGACTGAGGTAGAGGCTGCCTTAAAGGCTGTTCTACTGGGAAGAGACCAAGGAACCATCTGCAAGGTATCTGCCTTTTAATGTCCTCCTTCCATGGGTCACGTGTGAAAGGGCTGCGAGGTCAGGGTTTCGAATACAGTCAAATCGCTTTGCATTAATTCACCCGGCTTCTCTTCATTAGCTTCTCTCGCTTGCAGGGACAACACAAGTTGAAACCTTTCTCACCTTGAATGCCTGCCCTGGGGACGTGGAGTCAGCCAGCAGGGAGAGAAGACAAGCTTCAGAGCAGTTAGGATTCAAAGCCAAGCGGATGCCATGGCCCATTTCTGATGGGACTGCGCGACAGGGGGCAGCAGCGTTGCTTCCTCGTCCCCAGTGAACCAGGACTCAACCCCAGCTCCGCTTCCCCCTCCCTTTGCACAGGTGCTCAGGGGAAGGGATACAAGGATGGCTGCTTGGGACAGAGTTGGGAAAGTCAGGGGCGGCACCCACGGCTCAGAGGGCAGGGCTGGAGCGCTAGCTGCTGCCTGGTCCTTTTCTGATGCTAGCCACTTAAATTTTCCTCTCTCCTAGCAAGAGACCTTGCTGACCACAGCTGCATTTCTCCACTGAGCCATTGCCCCAGCTGACAGTCTGGGGGTTACCACTACTCAGGCACCCAGAGGTGGATCGCCACAGGGAGGGGGTGAGATCTACTTTGTTTTTCTAATCCCAGAGAAAAGCGCCCTCCAGGTAGCATCTCCTGAGGCCACCCTGGGTTCACTGCAGGGACTAAAATAAAAGCACACATGCTGCAGCCATCAGACCCGTCTCTAGCTCGGTCACTGGGGAGCTCCAGCTGGAAGGGCTGGAGATTTTCTCATCAAGACTCTGTTAATCTCACCCAATGCTTGAGACCTCTGACTGTCCCTGAGGAGCAAATTACATTGACATCAGGAGAAAGGAGCCTGCGAGTCCATGGATGCAGAAGTGGGTCCTGAGCAGAGTTTGACAGGATGGGCTCAGCACAGACCGCAGCAGGGCAGCTACCTCATGCTGGCCTGCCCGTCCATGGAGACCCAGCCCTGCTGCCCAGGAGGGTGAAATGGGAATTTAATTTCCATGGGTCATCTAGGGCTTATGTACACAGAGACTCAGCGCGTGGCAAGCTGAGGCTGGGTGAATCTGCTGCGCACAGACTGGCCGGGTGGTCCCTGCTCTTGGGCACTAAAAGTCCCCTAGCGCACGTTCACCTACTCCCACGTCAAGCAGCAGCGGGTCAAAGTGCACCAGGGACCTTTTAGTGCGCAACAGCAGGGTCCGCGCAGCCAGTTAGCGTGCTGCACATCCACACCCCTGCTTCCCATGCACTAAGCCACCATATGGACAAGCCTTCAGCCCTGGACTTCTCTGCCAACACTGCCAAGTGGAAGTGGGCCCCTATTAGTACAAACTGGATTGTGGGCACTTGGCAAACCTGGAGCTTGACTGAAACCCACCAAACTCATTTCACAAAGGGGAGGGGGCCACTGAACTGTCCCCCAGGCACTCACAGTGTGTACTGAGCACTGGGGAAAGGAAATTAAACGTCAGCTGCATCCTGGCCAGGAGGAGGCAGGATGAACACGCAGCTGGAACGAGATATTGCAAGTTTAAAGCCAGACGCGCGCATTGCATATTTTCTTAGGGTCTGAGTCAAAGTCAGTGGCAAGGCTCCCCAGGTCTTCAGTGGTCCTTAAGCACCAAAGGACGTTACAGCCTGGTTGTAGTTGGTGGGGTTGGTTTTTAATGCTGCAGAATTAGAGGCCAAGACATTCAGCACAGAGAGACACGGTCCTCTCTCTGCACAGAGTGACGCTGAGCTGGAGGCACGAAGCGAAATGCTTCTGGCACCCTTAACTCAGCCTCTGATGGACAGGAGTTTGTACTGGAAATGAAAGAACGGATGATGCAGAATTGCTGGTGTCAGCACCTTTTGCCTCCCTCCTTGGGAACACTCCAGTGATGAGGCAGCACTGACTAGTGCCTTCTCATTAATAGCTAGTAATAACGAATACAGTGCCCCTGTGGGTTCACCTGCCGACTTCCTTCCCCAACAGGCCAGTCAGGACTGCAGTGAGACCTTTTGCAATGAAAGGACAGCAGGCGCCCCCAGTCCTGGCTGGAGCAAAATGCAGTAGGCTGCCACATGGTAGCTTCATGGAGAAAGAACGCCGGGGCAGTCACTGCAGAGATGGGGCCAGAACCAACCCCCCGGACTTCGGGGGAGTTTGGTCCAGACTCTGTAGCTCAGGCGCATCTCTGCTGCAGAGATCTAGCGTTACACCCCCATGGCTTCAGTGGCAGGTACTGAATGCCGTGCAAAAAGCAGGCTTTAGAGTCAGTCTACACTGCAGTTGGAGGTGTGTGATTGAAACTCTTTAACCTAGTTCGCATGGGTACTAACAGCAGCGAAGACACGGCAGCAAAGGCCGTACAAGCCGGCCTGGAAGCCTGGCTACATACTTCCATTCCTAGCTTGTGCGGCTGTGTCTTCACGGTTATTTTATCCATGCTAGTTAGACTGAAGCTAGGCTGGGTACGTCTACCTGAGCTGCAATCACACCTCCAATTGCACTATCGACATACCCTAAGGGAACACTGCAGCGCGGTGTGTACAACACAGAACCCATGCCCACTCCAGGTCCCCACGCCTGCTCAGTGCAGGACAGCAGCATGCACTCTGCTGATGAACCCACATGCCACTGAACCCCAGCGGCAGGTGCAGCCTGCCTAATAAAAGTCCCACTTCTCTTTTCAGCTTCAAAGCCCTGCAAAAAAAGAGAATTAACAATGCTTCCAAGTTCCACTCCCCACCCCTACTCCTTCCACACGGGGGGTTTTTAAAGTCCCCTTTCAATAATCAGCTCTTCAATTCTGCAGGTTATGAACTCATCATGAGAACGTAAAGCAAAATCAGGAGCCTGCTCTTGCGAGGTTCTGAGCTCCGCGGGAGAGACACTCCCCTTAAAGTCAACGGGTTGGGAGGGTGTTCAGCACATTACAGGACCAGTCTGGGAGAACAGACCTTCTCTTTCCCTGCTAGACAGGCAAAAGGAGTGCGAGCTCGGAGATCAGAGCAAGCCAGAGCCTAGGACTGTGACACCTCATGCACTGGCAGGGGGTGGGGATTAGGGGGAGCGCATGCTGGAAATGTGCTGGACTGGCCCCCTCTATCCCAAAGGGCCATTCAGCAGTGCACGTAGACATGGCTAACGCCCCATAAGAGGCGAGGAACGTGCACTCCTGACAGGCTGGTACCTGTGAGCCTTCGGTTCCCGGCTGCTGTAGGAGCTTGACGGTCCTGCCTCCTGCTGACCTCTGACTCCGCCCGTCATGCCAGGTGAGGCTGCTGCCCGTGTTCCGCTGCAGACGGTAGTTGAGGTTTTCGGCCGACACCGTGTGCTCCAGGAGGTTCCGGCAGAAGCTGAAGTGCGCGGCAGCGGCTGGGGAGGAGAACGATTTATATCAGAAAGACAACAAACATACCCCATGCACCAGCGTCCTCCCACAGCTGCCCAGATTGCCCTATGCGCTGCTGCTCAAGAGGCACAGGACTGAGTCCACGTCCTCCAGTCTTCTTCTCTGCCCCTGAGGCCGAAGGATCGGAGAAGGATGTGGAAGTGCACCACATTGGCAAAGCCTGTGTTGCTTTCCCCTCCAGTGGCTGGTCCTCTAGAAGAGAACAGCCTACTACTGCTACCTGCTCTTAGCTGCGGTGGCAGAAGTCTGTTCTACAAGTCCCAGAGCAACCATGCAGGAGAGGGCTGTTGCTATGGCAGCGCTTGTGGCCAGGAGAAGGGCTTGCTGGGAGGACAGGGAGTATTTTCCAGTAAGAAGACGGTGAGGCCGTTCTAAAGGAAGGAAGCTTGTCTGTGGGCTGCACAGGGAGCAGAGGCAGCATGTTAGCAAGCCCAGCTCTTCTGAAGGAACAGGAAATCAGCCCCAGTTCTCAGTGACCAGCTTTGGCTGCCAGCAGACAGGGCCGCAGGCACTTAAATGCACAACGACACCCAATGGGGCCGCAGCCGCTGATGAGGAACCATGCACACGGGCTGCAGGAGCTCCGACCGCAAACCCCAGCTCCGTGAGGAAATGGGCTGGCTATGGAGCTGCGTACCAGATGCATTCCCAGGCCCCTCTCCCACTGGCAGGTGGGCTGCTAAGCCCCGCACTCAGCTGTGCTTGGGTTGGACACAGGTGCTGCATCGGCGCTGATTCTGGAGGCTTTGACGTAGAGCTCCCCCGAGCCCAGGGCTGGCTAACTGGGTCCCCTGGGCCAGAAACCGCCACACACACACAGGCAATACCATTACATTTAGTGTCCCAGCAAATTAAGGCTCATTGGAGGGGAGTTTGCCCCAAGCAGCCATGTGACCAGCTAGGACCCGTTAACCCTTTAGAAGCTACAGTGCCTTAAACTCGTTGGCACTGGCCTTCTGGTCTGCGGGGCCCCATGCTGTGATGGGGGGTGGGGGAAGCAAAGAGGAGGTTGAGCAAAGAGCTGCTTAGGGGGAGGTGCAGTGTGGAGCTCTGAGTGTGAACGGGACCCTCCAGCTGTGGCTTGAGCTTTAGGCTGGCCTGGCCTGGCCTGCCCCACACATGCCGCTCTCCCGTGTGGGGGGAGGGTACGGAGTGCCCTTTTGCCGTATGGATCCCCTAAAACTTCTCCAGTCCGGGCACTGCCAGCAAAGCCGTACCGTACCCTGACGAAATGCCAGAGAGCTCTGCAGCGAGGAGCCCACAGGCCAGGGCTCGCAACGGGGCAGGAGCAGTGTCTCGGACCATTGCTGGGCAATCCTGGTGCATTTTGCAAGGGTATTTGAGCACCAAAAATGCTGAGGAGGCAACATCCCAGGGGCCGCGTGCTGGGAGCGTGATCCGTGGAAAGCACGCTCCAGTTCAGAGGGGCAGGAAATAAAAATAGGAGGACAGGAAGGGGGGTGGGTGTGTGTGTGTGTGTGTGTGTGTGTGTGTGTGTGTGTGTGTGTGTGTGTGTGTGTGTGTGTGTGTGTGTGTGTGTGTGTGTGTGTGTGTGTGTGTGTGTGTGTGTAAAAGAGCCGTACACCTCTGCTCCCGAAACTGCCAGACAGGGTCTGTATAACCCGGGGTCCCGTGCTCAGGGCTATGACCAGGCCCTTGTTACCTGCCGTTCCCAGAACCAGACTTGAGGAGGGCTGGGGGCCTGGTGGGTAGAGCAGGGCGGGCCTGTGTTGTCTGGCTGGCTGCTGGAGGATCGTGAGTGCCGGGGGTGCTGCCTCTTGCCACCTCGCGCCTGTGAAACCATCCTGTCTGTTCAGATGGCTGCTGTTACCACGGCAACAGATTCTGCGACCTGAGTAACAGTGGGTCTGCGCTGTGGGCATTCCCAGCGCTACCCCAGTCCTGCTGCTAACCCCCCCGGCCCCAACCACTTGATGCCAGTCCCCCCAGCCCCTCCCTTCCCACAGCCCAGCCCAGTTTTCCTTCAAAGGAAAACACCTGATGGAGGAACCTGTGCAGAGATTTTGGTAACCGTATCATGATGGGAGGCCTCAAGCTTCTCATCGCTAGCGAGCCAGTGAAAGGCTGTGAGCAGCAGGCCGAAGCCCCTTGGACTGAAGGAATGGCAGGTGTGGTCTGAGAGTGCGCTGGCTGTGGGTACCCCTGTACGGGCTTTACGGGCATATCGTCTGTGGGTGCTCATGCATGGGGCTGTATGTACCCCGACTCTGGGTGCCTGGTGGATTTGCGTAGCATAGATATTACAAGAGCAGGTCGCAATACAAACTGCAAAGGCACAGCCTTTGGGATGCGGTCAAAGCCACGGGCCTCAGTGACTCCGCATGGTCTCTCGTGATCCCATGGCACTGACTGTTAGTAGGAGGGACATAAAGCTTGATCCTTTGGCCAAATGCAGGGCCGCCCAGAGGGGGGGGGGGGTGTAAGTGGGGCAATTTGCCCCAGGCCCCGGGCCCCACCGGGGCCCCCACGAGAGTTTTCAGGGGCCCCCACAAGAGTTTTTGGCGGGTCTTCGGCGGCAGGTCCTTCAGTGCCGCCGAACACACCCGGAGCGAGTGAAGGACTTCTTCCGCTCCAGGTCTTCGGCGGCAAGGGCTTCATCCGCTCTGGGTCTTCGGAGGCGGGTCCTTCACTCGCTCCGGGACCCGCCCCCGAAGTGCCCCGAAGACCCCAGGCCCCCTGAATCCTCTGGGCGGCCCTGGCCAAATGCCAACATGGATTTTTATATTCTACGTCCCTGAAACACACACCCTCCCTTCCCCCCCCCCCCCAATTTCCAGTGACGACAGGATTCTTCTGTACACTCTGCCCTAAGCTGTTGTGCAACGTTTCCGTGTACGTGCTACCTCTGAGGAGGCTGCATTTCAGCAGCCAGCGAGGTGATTCCTTAACGGAGGCACTTTGAAATTCTTGGCCGATGGCGCTCTACAAGTGAAACCATTCCTCTTCTTCTTGGCTCAGCCCCTAACGCGTGCTCTTGTTCACAACACCAGGATACTCTGGGGACGGGAATGAAAAATGCAGCATCAGCTGGGACTTTCCATTGCCAGGCTGGGTCATACCCTGAATGCTGTTTAAATGTCTTCCTGCCCCCACCAGTCCCTTATTTTCTTTTCAAAGAGAAGCGAACAGCCCGCAACCACAATTGCTTACGCCAGCTTGCTCTGATGAAATGAACAGAGCTGCCCGAGACGTTTGCCCAGAGTGCTAGCACCAGCAAAGCTTGCTTTGACACCAATTTTCCAGCCAGTGAGTCCCAAAGGGTCTGATTCACCAATTTGCTACACCAGTTTTATGCAAGTGTGTATGCACTGGGTTGGTCCTCAAATGCTGTAAATTGGGGTGGTTCCACTGACTTCAAAGGAGCTACATTTTGCCAGTTTCTGTGAGCTGAGTATCTGGCCCATTGCCTCCATAGAGTCAGACTGGTGCAATGGAGTGGTCAATCCATCCTGTGGAGTTCTTTGATAAAATTCCATCCACTCCCTCCTATCCCCAGACAATTCAGGGGTAAAGGAGATTTCTTGAGATTATAATGGAGCCCAGCAGATCCTGCCCATTTCCTCTTCCAAATCCTTATGAGACACCAATCAGAGCATTTACAGAAATGCCCGTGTGTCTGTGAATGTGCGATCACTTACACAGCTCTGAGTACATGCACACACGTGAACTTTGAACAGATGTGTGGGTACACACAGGTTTGAATTCACATCAGGCCCATGTGCGTGCGTGTGTGCATATGCACTGGTAACGTGAGTACATGCACACAAGGGTGTATTGGCACGTGTGGGTGAATAACCACATGTATGTGCGAGCGTGCCAGCATCTGCACATGCACGACCATGGGGAGAAAGGAAAGTAATTGTGCTCATTCGGTATTGACCATTTGGTTGCTCAGAAGCTTGGGCTATTCCATTTGTTCCAATTAAAATGTAAAATTTTCCTTTGGGGGGAAAGAAAATGAATCCTTCTGTAAGAATAAAGCGTCAGTACTAGAGTCACATGCTCGTCTATTCTAGATAAAAGGCCGGGAGGCTTGGCATAAGCCACATGGATCCCACAAAGCAGGGACTAAGACAGGGGCGGGCAAACTTTTTGGCCTGAGGGCCGCATCAGGTTTTGTAAATTGTATGGAGGGTCAGTTAGAGGAGGGGGTTGTGGCCCAGCCCCCACCTCCTATCTGCCCTTCCCCGGGGACTCTTGCCCCATCTAACCCCCACGTTCCCTGACAGCCCCTCTGGGATCCCTGCCCCATCCACACACCCCCGCTCCCTGTCCCCTGACTGCCCCTGGACCCCCGCCACCCCATCCAACCGCTCCTCTCATTCCTGACGGTCCCTCCGGGACCCCTGCCCCATCCAACCACCCCTTCTCCCTGTCCCGACAGCCCCTCTGGGACCCCTGCCCCATCCACACACCCCCGCTCCCTGTCCCCTGACAGCCCCTCTGGGACCCCCGCCACCCCATCCAACCGCTCCTCTCATTCCTGACGGCCCCTCCGGGATCCCTGCCCCATCCAACCACCCCTTCTCCCTGTCCCCTGACTGCCCCCGGAATCCCTGCCCCTGACTGCCCCCTGCCGCCCCATCCAGCCCCCCCTCCTTCCTGACGGGACTCCTGTCCCCATTCAACCCTCTTTTTCCCCCCGACCACCATCCACAGCCCCTGACCACCACCCCGAACTCCCCTGCCCTCTATCCAACCTCCCCTGCACCCTGCCCCCTTACCATGCTGCCTGGAGCACCGGTGGCTGGCGGTGCTACAGCCGCGCTGCCCAGCTGGAGCCGGGCCACACCGCCCAACTGGAGCCAGCCACGCCGCCGCCGCCACCACGCAGCACAGAGCACCAGGTCAGGCCGGGCTCTGCAGCTGCGCTGCCCCAGGAGCTCACAGCACCGCCGCCCAGAGCATTGCGCCGGCGGCGGAGCGAGCGAGCTGAGGCTGC